AATGAAATGGAAAGATATGTTCATGAAAGACAACAACTCGGGAGATGAAAACCTGTTTAGTTTTGATGTCATCGAGTTTATAGCCTTTAATGCCAGCAGGATACCCCAGAAAGACATAGGTACGAGCTCTTGCATGAAACTTATCTCGATTAGCAGGAAGAGTAGATGCAAAAGTAAGACAACCAAAGACTCAAAATAAAGTGTAATCGAGAGGATTGATAAAGAACCTCGTGAGGAGTTTTGTGATGGAGCAAAGGTGAAGGAGTCCTGTTGATTAAGAAGGCAGCAGTCAAAACACATTCAGTCCAAAATTGAAGTGGAACTCGAGATTAAAAGTATAGGGCACGAGCAACATTCAATAAATGTTGATGTTTCCTCTCAACTATAGAGTTTTGTTGAGGCCTATCAACACAAGAAAGTTGATGTAGCACACCTTTAGCATTATCAGACTGACACTCTTTAATAGTAGAATGAAACTGAGTTGCAATCATATTGAAAAACTTTTCCAAAATTGAAGTGGAACTCGAGATTAAAAGTATAGGGCACGAGCAACATTCAATAAATGTTGATGTTTCCTCTCAACTATAGAGTTTTGTTGAGGCCTATCAACACAAGAAAGTTGATGTAGCACACCTTTAGCATTATCAGACTGACACTCTTTAATAGTAGAATGAAACTGAGTTGCAATCATATTGAAAAACTTTTGAAGGATAGAGGTTACATCAGATTTCTGCTTAAGTAGATATACCCAAGTAAACCTTGTGCAGTCATCGACCAAGGTTAAAAAATATCTATGGCCATTATAAGAGTTCTCATGATAAGGACCCCATATATAATAGTGAACTAAATCAAAAGGAGACTGCCTTAGGTGATTATGAGAAATAAAAGGCATCCTCTTTTGTTTAGCCAATGGACAAATATAACAAGGTTCTGAAAAACCAGTCTTGGACACTTCACACTGCAACTTGTTTTTCAATGCTTCAAGTCGTGAAGGAGAAGGATGGCCAAGTCTCTTGTGCCAAAGCTGAACAGAGACTTTATTTACACAAGCAGAAAATTCCTGAGAAACTTCCTTATTCAGAAAATCAGAATTAAGAATGTAGAGGTCCCCTTTCTTGTTACCCCTCCCAATCATCTTCATGGTGCGGACCTCCTGAATGATGAATTGGTCAGGAAGAAATTTAAGCATGAGTTGAGCATCAGTGGTGAGAACACTAACCAAAATCAGGTTAAACTTAAACTGAGGGACATAAAGAACATTCTTTAAAAGCAGAGACTGATTCAGCCTGACATCACCATAAAACTCAACAGGAATTGAAGTATTATCTGGAAGGGTAACCTCAGCATTGCTCAGAGGTTGCAAAAACAGAAAAGCACTAACAATAGAACAAATATGTCTAGAAGCTCCAGAATCAATAATCCAGGTCTTGGCTAAGGATAAAGCATTATTCACAGAAACTGAAAAGCAAATACCTGTGGAATAAGAAGTTGAGACATCATGAGAATCATTTCCCTTGGTGGAGGATGATAGATGTCTGGAAAACATCGCCATTAGTTGTTGATACTGCATTGGACTGAGGTTTTGAAAGAAATTCCCTGTATTTGCATTCTCGGCATCTGTAGGCTTGCTAGATACTTGATTAACAGCAACAACCTGATTATTAATGGAAAAAAGTCTTTTGTTTTGGTTTGAATCTAGGTGGATACCCATGTAACTTATAACATTTATCAATGGTATGTCCATGAAAGTTACAATGAGTACAAAAGGGCCTTTCCTTTTTCTGAAACTTATTTCCCCCACTAATGTCACCTCCAGTATTAGGTTTCTTGAAAGAATCAGTTTTAACAGCAAAAGCAACAACAGTGTTAGAAGAATCAGTTTGGGTACCAACATGAAAACCAATAGTTCGCTGGCGTTCATCTTGGGAAATCAAGGAAAACACCTTATTGATGGGTGGCAAGGGATCCAGTAACAGCAATTGACCCCTAACTTGAGCAAATGACTCATTTAAACCCATGAGAAAGGCTATCACATATTCATTTTGATAAAAGGAGTTAACTTCTTTGACACCACCGCAAGTGCATTTGCCACAGGTACAACTAGGCCTAAAATTACTCAACTCATCCCACAGAGATTTCAACTTCGTAAAATACACAGCCACTGAATTATGGTCCTGAGCATGATTAACTAATTCTCGTTTCAGCTGAAAAATCCTAGGACCATTACTCTGTTGAAAACGCTCCTTGAGGTCAAGCCATATTTCACAGGCAGAATCAGAAAACGAAATGCTAGCAGAAATATCTTTGGAAACCACGTTTAAAATCCAAGAAATGACAACATTATTATTTCTAACCTATGAATTAAGCAGATTGAGATCTGTACCGTCTGGTTTCATGACAGATCCATCGATGAAACCCAACTTGTTCTTCACAGACAAGGTGATGATCATCGCACGGCTCCAGGAGGCGTAGTTATCTCCTGTTAATGGTTGAGATACAAGTGAGAGGCCTGGGATGTCTGAATGATGAAGAAAATAGGGGCTAAGCGGATCGTCAATGGCGGACTTGCCAGAAATCGCCGAGGAATTGCCAGAAATTGAGGAAGCCATGAAAATTGATGAAAGATCTCGATCGAATCGACAATAGATTCAAGAACAAGATTGAATCAGCAAAGGAATCGACGAATTGAAGAACAATCAGAATGAGCAGCAAAGCATTCGCTTTGATACCATATTACGAATAACAAGAGAAACTGAAGAATTGGGAGAAAATGAATATTTCTGTTATTCAACAATCTGAATAATCATTGTGCCCTTATATACACGGTTACAAAAGATAAATATTGTAACTACTTATCAACTAAGCATACACATCAGCAAAGCTTGTAAGATAAGCTAAAATACTGAAAATGTAATATAACCGACTGATGTAATAGTATGTGACAGAGATTTGGCAAGATTAGGGAGGAATTTTGAAGGGCACTGGCATGGGTCTCCTGACCATTTCTCTGTGACGACGTGGTTGTGCGTCATAGACATGATGTTTGGAATCGGATATGGAGAAATCATTCGAATTGTCATGTTTGAAACACTTCCACTACTTCTTAGCTGAAATTTCCCCACTTACCCACAACCATTCCCTGATTTGAAGCCAAAATACACCCTTCCAAATACACCTTCCTCAAATTAATCGAGCTTTAGCTTTAGGAACCGATCTTCATCGCTCGTTCGGCTGCAAGTTGCACCAGCGATTTGATTGGACCGTTGCACCTGCTGCTTTTGGGGTTTTTTTTTTTTTAGTTTTTGAAATTAGTTGATGTTTAGTCTTCAATTTTTATTTAAGGATTTTTTATTTTTTAATATTAATCATTTTTATAAAATTAATTAGATGTTAATATCTTTAGTCAACTGTTAATAAGAGGGCGTCACGGCATCAGTTCAGTTAGAATAATAGACGAAAGTTGAAGGAGATGATGTTTTAAAACGTTTGCTATATATAAGAGGTGTTTAGAACTGTTTTAAAAAATTATGAAGTATTTTAAAATAATGAACATATTTTAAAGAGTATTTATAAAATTAATTATTTTCTTATAAGCTCTTGATGTGATTTTACAGAAAATGATACTGTCGATACAGACTTACCAAAGTCTCAAGTTTAAAATACATGGTTATTTTTTTTTATTAGCTCGAAATGGTAAACATCACAGAAAAGTGTCACGCACTTCAAGAAGCTCACGGCAATTTCACAAAAGAAGTAAAATTGTATTTTTTTTTTTT